ATGAAGAGGGACGCCGACTGCGGCCGCGACTGGAAGCAGACTGGACTTGCAGCAGTGGTAGTGGTGGTGGTGGTAGTAGTGGTAATAGTAGTAATAGTAGTAGTAGTAGTGGCGGTGGTGGTGGTGGTTTTAGTGGTAGTAGTAATAGTGGTGGTGGTGGTTTTAGTAGTTGTAATAATAGTAGTAGTAATAGTAGTAGTAGTGGTAATAGTGGTGGTAGTTGTAGTAGTACTAGTATTGATGGTGGTAATAGTAGTAGTAGTAGTGGTAGTAGTGGTAATAATTGTAGTAGTAGTATTGGCGGTGGTGGTTGTGGTAATAGAAGCAGTAGCAGTAGTAGAAGTACGGTAGTAGTAGTAGTAGTCGTATTAGTGGTAGGAGTAGTAACAACAGTAGTAACAGTCGTAGTCGTAGCTGGTGTAGTAATAATAGTAATAGTATTAGTATTAATAGTAGTAGTAGTAGTAGTAGTAGCAGCAGCAGCAGCAGAAACAGCAACAGTAGTAGTAGGAGTAGTAAAAACAGCGGCAGACGCAGTAGTAATAATGATAGTAATGGCAGCAATGATAATGGTAAGATCAGCAATAGTAATACTACTTAAAGTAATATCATCGATATAATCAACACTGTTTCAAAATAAAATTGAGTTAAAATTGAAAAAAGATAGAAATAAAGAATTTTTAAAAAATCACAAAACCATTTATCCACAACACCTCTTCTTAAACAATAACACATTTCATTTTCATTCATAAATTCCTTTCATTCACCCCTTTAGCCCGCCCCCGCCCCCTCTTAAGGACTTACAACGATGGGTTCCGGGATGCCCTTCCTGAACCAGGCGACGGAGGTGTCACTCGGGCCCGAAGTGGAGCAGTTGAGGTACAGGTCCTCGCCCAGGTCTTCGAAAACTTCTTCAGGAGGTGTCACTACGAACTTCGGTATGTCTGGAATGTGTAGATGGAGGGTTTGGTTTAAGGGTTTATGTTTGAGGAAAGGTTTTTTTCGGGATTTATATTTAGAGAAAGTTTTTTTTTCGTTGTTTATATTTGGCGATATATCTCTCTTTTTTAGCTTTTTTCGGGGTTTGTATTTGGAGATTTAAAAAAGATTCATAGTTTATATCTGACGAAAAAGAATCTGGGCTCATTTTTGTAGGATTTTTTCTGGGTTTATATTTGTTTTTTTTTTTAACTTATAGTGCTTAATTAGAATTTTTCTTGAGTTAAGAGCATTTTAATAAAGTTTCATTAATGAAAGAAATGATAACGAGTCTTGATTTTGTGAAAGATATTCTACAATTCGATGAAGCTGCTGAAATGTACTTGAATGGCTTAAAGCATGCGAACTGCGCTACCTCTCTTTGTCGTACATGGGAGTTGTTAAGCTTCAGACTCCAGGAACAATATCAACGAAAGATTACACAAGCTGATGACGGAATTGAACAGCAGGCCTAAAGAGCAGCCCAAAGACCAGTTCTTCAAGGAAATACTTAAGCGAGCTGTGCCCCACTTGGCCTACGGGCAAGGGATTAAAATTTTGCACAAGCACTGATCGTGTAGATAACAAAAATAAATGTTTGATAAGTGACCTATGTAAATGAGGTTTCGATGTGTTTTTGTTCCTCTTTCTAAGAACAGTGAAATATAGAAAAACAATTGAATGATAATGGATATCTTCGCAGTACAAGAAATGTATTTAACAATAGAAATACATTTCTTGCACTATGAAGATGTTCATTCTCAATCATATTTTTTTTCTACAGAGTGTGATAGCCACATGACACTCACTCTCCTAATTCTACTCCCATACTTCATATGCCCATTCCCATTCCCGCTCTTACTCCTACTCCCATTCCCATTCCGACTCTTGTTCCTAATCCCATCCCAGTTCCCATTCCCATTCCCTCTTATTCCTAATCCCATTCCAATCCCCATTCCCATTCTCTTATTCCTAATCCCATTCCAGTTCCCATTCCCATTCCCTCTTATTCCTAATCCCATCCCAATTCCCAATTCCTCTTGTTCCTAATCCCATTCCAATTCCCATTCCAATTCCCTCTTATTCCTAATCCCATTCCTATTCCCATTTCCTCTTATTCCTAATCCCATTCCTATTCCCATTTCCTCTTATTCCTAATCCCATTCCTATTCCCATTTCCTCTTGTTCCTAATCCCATTCCCATTCCTTTCCCTCTTATTCCTAATCCCATTCCAATCCCCATTCCCATCAGCCTCCTACAACCACAGGAAATCCTACCAGCGACTTCGAGGAAGAGCACAGCCTTCCCCAAGGACGCGCCGCTGGGGTGCAGGACCTCGCACGACCAGAAACCCGAGTGGTTGTGGCTGAGGGAGTAGAACCCGAGGGTGAAGGTGGTCTCAGGCAACCCGGGGGAGTCGGGCTTCTCCGTGATGGTGATGTAGACGAGGTCATTCGAGGTCGACATCTTGGTCTTGTTCTGGATCGCGACTCGAGGCGTGTCCTCTTGCAAGAACATGATTGTCTGGAGGGAGAACAGAAGGGGTCGTTGGTGTCAGTAATTGGAGTGTTATGTGCTTGCCGTGCGCTGTGGGTATCGCCTTGTCGTTAGTCATCTGTTTATATCCCTTTGTTGTAGTCAGTGATAAGTGTGTTGAGTGTGTGTCGCTTGCTGTATGTGTCCAATGTGATGTGATCTCTTTGCCGTGTGTATGTTGTAGGTGTCAGTTTGTTGCCATCAGAAAAGCAGTAACTGTTGTATACATCAGTTTGTCGCAATCTTTATTTATAACAAAAGTGTACATATGTTGTGGTTGTATATATGAAATTGCTGTAATCAGTATGTCACTTGTACATTGTGTGCTGCACATCAGTTTGCTGTAATAAGTAAGCAACATGTATGTTATTTTCTGTGTTGTTGGTTGTTGTATGTTATCTTCGGTATTGTTGTATGTTGTATTCTATCTTCAGTATCTAATATGTAACCATTGTGTCTCTCAAGATGAAATTGGTTATTCGAAGCCCCTTTCGTTTTTACGCGATCATATCTCTTCCTCGTGCACAGAGGACGATTTCATTCCATGTCGCTCAAAGCAGTAAGACTGAAGTTATGCGGATACGTTTAGAGTTGCAATTCTTCGCAGAGAAGGGGGACCTCACCTATACAGGCTTACAAAGCACCTTATAAAATTATAAAGTTTATATTTACGAAGCTAGATAATAACAGACTAACAAAGTTATTAAGCTATAATATATACATACATACATACATATATATATATATATATATATATATATATATATATATATATATATATATATATATATATATATATATATATATATATATATATATATATACGAATTACAAATCAATAGTTACACAATCACAAATTTATAAACTTATAAACCTACAAAGTAACTTAATCATAAAGTTTTAAAAAAAGTAACAAACGTAAAAGCTTATAAAATTAGGGCTATAAAATAAAGGTCTTAAGCTGAACGCAAACGAAGCACCGAGCTCACCACTTTGTTCGGATCCACGCCCTCGACTTTGCAGTTCAGGGGAATGGGGGCGTCCATCCAGTTGGGGCGCTCAAGGGTTTGCAGCTCCAGCGTCACGTCTGCCTCCCCTGGCGAAAAGAGGTGATAAGAAAGGCAAAGGGAAATGGAATAGAGAGAAGAAGAAAAGGGAAGGAAGGCGAGACGTTTCGAAGATAGCTCGGATCCTCCTTCCGTGGTAAACACTAAGGCTTAAGCCGCACTTTTATGTTTGTGCTTTTTTTTTTTTTTTTTTTTTTTTTTGGAGGGGGGGCACCTGAAGCGGAAACTAACATTATTCGAAATACTGTGGGTTTTGCATTTTTTCTTTTAGTGTGCTTATGATTTTGGGCGCGAAGAAAAGTTTGAGAGGAACTTGAGTGGGATGTTTCGCATTGCTTTAACTAAAGCTTAGAGGATGAATAGAAGGAGGAACACCAGGAAGAGAAAGAGAGGAAGTGGAAGAAGATTGGGAGGAGCTGGATCACCAGAAAGAGAAAACAGAGGAGGAAAAAAAGAAGGTGAAGAAGAAAGTGAAGAAAAATAAAGAGGAGGAGGAAAAAATAAGAAGGTGACGAAGAAGAATAAAGAGGAAGAGGAAACAGAGGACGGAGAGGAGGAGGGGATATAAAGTTGACGGAGAAGAAGAAGAGAAGGGGGAGGGAAGGAAGGAAACTTACTCCAGACCTCGACGGCGACGGCATCGAAGGCCATGGGGCTCGTGTAGCACTCGTAGTAGCCCGAGTCGTCGAGGATGGCGCTCGTGACGGTGAGCACGTGGGAGCTGATCTCAGGCCGCTCTCCGGGGAGCTTGGACACGTCGTAGCGCCACTCTCGCTCGGGCTCCACCACCACGTTGTTGTGCACGAAGGTCACCTGCGGCCGGATCGGGGTCACAAATACGCACACTTAAACTAACACACATTATACACACACTCACAAATATACATATATGTGTGTGTGTGCATATTTATGAATGTATGTTTATGATTAAGAGCGGGATGAATTAAACAAGTGAAATTACGTAAATGCAAATGAAATGCGACATAAGACAAGTACACATCAGTCTGAGATTTCTGTCCCGTCTCCAAATAATACCACAAAACTGCGTGAGAGAGAACTCCATGGAAAACAATACAATAATTCTTGAAAATTAGATAAAGAAAAAAATCCCACATTTAAATCAGACACATACACATCTAATCCCACATCGTCTGTTTATGATTCAAGATGAACTTCGTCGTGTAAACTCACATCATTTTCCCAGTTTTGGACTTGGCACGTGATGTTGAAGTCTCGGCCGAGGACGGCTGCGGACGCGGCGATTCCCAGCACTTCCTCTCGAGGCTCTGCAAGGAGGCGGGCATGCGCTCAGCCACAAGGATTTTTTTGCAGCTTTTTATTCTCTTCCTTGTCAGATTTAACTGAGCACGAGAAACTATTCATAATACACACACACATGCGCGCGCGTGCGTGACGTA